TGCCCTTGCCCCGGTTCCCCCATCCTCTGCCTTGCCCTCTGCCCCTCTGCCTTGCCATCTCACCCTTGCCCTCTGCCTGCACCCTCACCCTTTCTCCTTGCCCTTTGCCCTACCCTTTGCCTCCTGCCCTTCACCTCCCGCCCTTCACCTCCTGCTCAGCACCCACCACCACCAGCTCAAGCAGAAAGCAGAGCACAAGGAGGGGAGCACACAAGCACAAAAAGCCCCCACAAGCACCCAAAGAGGGCGAACGAGCAGAGGAGGGAGCAGAGGGGGCAGAGGTGGCCCCATGAGTTATGAGTACACGAGGGGGCAGATGGGGCACCAACGAGCACAGGAGGGGGGCAGAGAGGGCAGAGGAGCAGAAACAGCACGTTATAGCACGCCGTTTCTGCTCGTTCTACCTATATTTCATAGTAGGTGGCCCTACTAGCCACCCGCATCCTGTATTTTTTTTTTATGTACAATTTAATACATTTTTTTGTGCATTTCTTTGCTGCAAAGGGCAGGGGAGCAGAAATGATGCGTACGACATGTCGTTTCTACTCATTCTCTCCATATCTCGTAGTGGGTGGCTGGTAGAGCCACCCACATCATGTGTATATTTTATTTCAATTTAATATTTTTTTTCGTAATTTTTTTGTGTGCTGAGATGACCCCGAGCTCGCTGCACGTCGTGACAGACGATGGCAAGAGCATATAATGTATGTGTCATGTTAATTATATCATGATCTATAAATAGGCCCACAAAAAAGACCACATCATCCAGATGCACCAAGCCCAATCCATCCATTCCTGCCCTCCAACAATGGAGGAAATGGTGCACAACAATGAGGAAATATGTTTCCTCATTGTTGGCACCTTTTCCCCATTGAAAACAGTGGCAGGAACACCAAAAACGACAAGGAAACAATGCTCAGGCATTGTTTCCTGTGTTGTTTGCTTGTGTTGATAGGTCCTGCCCACAGCATTGAGTCCTGGCATGCACGGCAACAGCCTCTCTGTGGGTGGACTGTATAATGACAGTCCTGACATGTGAGTATACCCTGTTTAAATACAGTGTTTGATACAGATTTCTAGCAGACATGGCTGAAGCATAAGTGACTGAGCAATAGGAACATTGACAGGAATTCCTGACTTCCATAGGTCTTTCAACATGGTCTTAATAGCATCGACAGTGGCTGGATATTTTGCTAGAATACCTGTTTGCCCAGAACCTGCAAGAGAATGGTGATTCGCAATGTTTGCAAGAGTCTGCATTGACCAAGCCTTAGGATTTTCCTGTGAGATCCACCTCCAGATGGTCGCTTTTGTAAGTGTCTTGAAAAGGGCTGGATAGTCACATCGAAGGATGGTTTCAGTCTGCGGGGCTGCTCTGCAGTCTCGCCAGCATGTCCTCTTTCACTGCTGCAATAGATATTCTGTACATTATCCCTGTTTCCTCAGGGATATTGCATTGTTTCTGAAGCACAACCCTACGGCGTTTGGCTTCAACCGGGACCCTTTGGGTGTCAGATAATCATTGTAGGTGGAGTTATTCCTCCTTTCGGGGGATTTATCGGTGAATTGACACCCTCGAACCTTAGGGTTCGGAGACCTGCACCCGCTTCATTTCTTCACGCTTGCAGTCTGCTGTTATAGCGGGTTGCGGCGCCGCTAACTTTCTGCATCTGGTTTCAGGCAGGCACTTCTCTGGCTCATTGGCCTCAAGACACCCTGCCACCTCCCAGGTGGTGCTTTTCTTATCTCATTTGCGCTGCGTGGCCTCCGAACAGCGATTGATGACTATGGGGTGTAGCGGAACCTTGATGGTTTCCTCCCCTTATCCCAATGCACCATTTTCATGAGGTGGGTTGCCCTCTGGGGAGTTTCGGTGTTTGAGCCCAAAGGGTCTTGGTTGGGGGGCGGTCGTCTTTTAGTAGTTTACCTAGTACCCAGGCCGTGTAGCGTACGTGTTTGTAGCAGCCATGTCAGCTAGAAAACTATATCAGACACTGTATTTAAACAAAGTATGCTTATAAGTCAGGACTGTCAGTTTACAGTCCCCTTCTACCAGCTATGAAAATGTATCAGATGCTGTATTTTTACAAGTATGCTCCTAGAACATCATTGTCATAGGAGAGAAATGTGACTGATGCCAAGACTGATGGTAGATCATGTGACTTTTTAATTGCCTTTTTCTTCAGGATCAGCCTCTGAAACTTTGATATTATGGCCTCAAAAGGAAACAATTAATAAATAGATGATTGCCAGGCCCAGACTTGGCATTGTTGATGAGTAATAAAGCCATCAAGTTTGCTGATGCCATTAACATTAAAGTCACTTGTGACAAGTTGGACTTTGCAAAATTTGCTTAAGTCCTCTTCTGCTATGTCTAGACAGACACTAGGAGTGCCCAAATTGGCTGGTCACATGACTGTGAGAAAATTTTCTTTTTGGGAAGAAATGGTTGAAATAGAAACCCTGTGCCTAGATGATCCTGCCACCATCAGCACGACCTATTTGGCTCCATCAGCAACAAGATATAAGCCAAACAATCCCAAAAATTACAAAATGCAACCCATTTTCTCAGTAATTTGTGTTTTTCTCGCCAACCAGAGTAGCTGATGGCATCAAACAACTTGATTCAGGGTCACCCAAAGGTGCTCCATGAACCCAGATACTTTTTTTTCCAAAAATAAATAATTATTAATCACCTCATTTGCCTTGTTAGACTGACTGTAAACTGACAGTCCTGACTTATGAGCATACTTTGTTTAAATACAGTGTCTGATATATTTTTATGGCTTATAGAAGTGGTTTGTAGATAGCGAGCGGGCTGCCACTGAGCACCGCTATATAAATTGTTGATCAAAAAAAAAGATGGTTTCAGTATATGACACACTCCAATCAGCCTTACAGATGGATGCGTCAATGTGAACCCAAAGAAAAGGATGAAACCAGTTCATTCTAGCAGCACGTTCTTGCCAAGCCCCCCCATGGCTTCCATTCTGCTCCTTTCTCCAGTCTTCGAACCCAGGCCTTGAGATCTCTGTGATCGCCTGTTGCAACACAGCTTGTGAAGGTCCCAAGTCTGAAATGAGAACTGGAACAACAGCTTTCCCAGAAGGACGGCTGCCACCAGCAGCGGCCTTTTCTTCTCACTTTCTGTCCTGAAACCTCTGTTGGCATTTCCAGTTCAGCTCTCGCTCCTTTGCCTCCTTCTTCTCCCTCTGCCGTTGCTTGCTCTCAGCTGCTTTATGCATTCACTCTTCTTCTTTCACCTGTGAAACCTCTCAAGCCTGAGCAAGTTCCTCCTTTGTATACTCACTTCGCTTCTTCCATACTTCATTCAACAATCCCTGCTTCAATGGAGGCTTAATTTCTGAAGCCAAGGCAGAAGTCCCACTGATGATAATGACATTGTTATTCCTGGTTGATTGCCGAGGACATTTTGGCACTGGCTGAGACTCTGAGTCAGAATCACTAGTAATCTCAATGACCGTGCTCTGCTGTTTCTCAATGATTGTGGTCGCAGGCAGATGGAAGGTGGAAGGGGCTGGAGGAGCTGGCTGTGTTGTCACCTCCAACTCCTTGTGCTTCTTCAAAAATTTTGCTCCATCGAGCAATGCTGCATCAATCAGTCATTCCAGCTACACATGATGGAATGCTTCATGGTTGGAGTCAGACATGGTCTTGACTGCAGCTTTTATGGTTGAGATAAGGTCATTGAGACAATGGCCATGCTCAGAAAAGCGGATTTGTGGGTTTTCATATGTTCTAAAGCAGACTTTGAGGATGTGTGAGAGAGTGCCAAAGGGACCACGCTCGGCAAGGCTCTCTTCATCGAGAAAGAAGTTGTATGATGAATTAAGCAGATTAAGTGGCAGTTGTTCAGGAAGATTCTGGAGCAAGTTCTGGAGATGGGTAATGCGAGACACTAGAACCTGTGATGGTCCAATGGGAGTGACTGTGGTCTTCTTCTCGGTCATGGTAGAAGTAGGGGAGATTTGGCATTCAAGCTCAATGAACATTGATATTTGTAATTACAAAATGTGGCCCTCAGCATACTGAATAAATTTACCAGGGCACACTTTGCGTCTGGTGGCTCGAGGGCCTGTTCGCCCATTGTTCAATGTGGCCCACTTCCACCCATTGCTAAATTTAGCAACGGTAACAGCTAACGACTGGACCGTTGCTTCCATACAGAAAGGGACAGTAGGTATTTTGTCTCTATGTTCACTTTCATTTTACTTCTGTCTACTACTTCACATCTAAAGTAGATACAAATATTCTATGTTTTCTCTTTGCTGTTCTTATCATGAAATGGCTATTCTTTTGTATTTTATCTTCATATGGCACTCCTGGGCACATCAGCAAATCGTGATTTTGAAGGTCAAAATGGCCTCAATTTCAGTGGTTAGACTGTTTTAGGTCTGGTCTGTGGCCCTCTGGCCCTGAGTCAGCCCTGGCCTGGACCTGAGGGCCAAGGCCAAGGGCCGGCAGCTGGTTGGCCCAGCCTCTTTAGGGAGGGCCAGGGCCAAGGGTTGGGCAAACCCAAGCTGACCCAGTTCAGTCCCATTTGGGCAAGCCACATCATCACTTTGCAGCTTGTCCTTCCTGTCCTCCACCCCCACCTCCACATTGTTGTCTTCCTCATCTGCCTGCCCACCACACTGTCACAATATGGAAGAATGTAATTGTATGTGGGCTTCGCCTGCCTACAGGGTGGGGTGCTTGCTACATCCTAGTTTTGTGACACATGTTACACCATAAAGCCATATGTAATAATTACAAAATTCAACTGATCTGTCTAGATATATAATCCTAATCATTAAATACATATTCACTTAAGTCAACACCATATGTATCTAGAGTGAATCCAAGAGCCTCTCATCATATATTGTCTAATTTTAACATCTTCATAGAAGGTGTATCTTCAGGTCTTTGTAATCAAGTGATAGGAAAGTGGTCATGAAACACCAATCCTTGTAGTGACTTGACTCTCAAAATAGCAACATATGACAGTCCAGAAGAAAATTCCTTAGGCCCAAGTGCAATTACTGTCTCAGCAAGAGTAAGTCCTTGGCTTTTGTGGATAGTAATAGCCCAAGCCAATGCCAAAGAAAGCTGTGTTCTTGCAAGTGTATTTCCAGTTTTATCCTCCCATTGTGCTGTTACAGGGATGACAGGAACCCAGGAAGGATCAATATTCTCCTATTCAGGATGATTAGGACCTAATAGAAATTATAGCATTTAGAAAAGTAGAGGTAAATAGAAATTAAACAATACCTGAATACCCTGGACACACAACAAAAACCACAGAAGGAAGACACAGAAGGAAGATATTTTTTGGGGTCTGCATTAGGGGCATACCAAATCTTTTTTGCTACTCCCTGGGCACCATTCACCAACCCTAATCAATAAAATTAACATCTAATTTTATCAGAAAGATTGAATTTGACCTTTTGCAGTCCACAGATTTCTGGTTATCATGACTTTAGCATCCTCAGCTAATAGAACAGTGGTTTCTAGTCCATCTGCATCTTCTTCAGTAGCCTTTGCTGCAGCTGCTGAATTATGTTTTGTCTTGCATTTGACTACAGGTTTTGTCAACTTGCTGAGACGTTTGATATTTGTGACAAGGACATCTGCATGTGTAGGAAGAAGATGCAAAACCTCTTTAGATTTCTGATGTTCTTCTGGTGTAATGTTGTCCCAAAAGTGAGTCTGGAAGAGCTTGTAGTCATCTTCAGTAGTACTATATGTTCTTAATCTAAGCAAGGCATCACAGAACTTGACTTGCTCTGGATTGTCTCCTTCTTGCTGAAATATTCTGCTTAAAGTGATAGACTGCAAGAAAGTCTCATAGACACATGACCTTCCATATTAAGAGCATGTTTTCTTGCAGAGGAATTTGTAGAGTAAAGAGGAGTATCTCCAATAGGTGGGAGTTGTGCAAAATCTCCAAAGAAGATAATAGGAGTGTTCCCTAATATCTGATCTGAATTCTCTGGAAAAGCCTGTCAAAGTTGATGATCACATTGTTCCATCTGAGTTCTGCCAACCATTGATTTTTCATCCAGGATTAACAGTTTGACAGATTTCCAGTGTGTTTGATGTCACTGAAGACAATTGCCAGCCATCTGATGAAATTTCTTTCCTTCTTTCACAGGAATACCCAAACCAAAGTTTATAGTCCAGCCTCAAATGCCAAATGCAGCAATCCCAGTTGGTGCAAGTCATACAACAGGATCTTTTCCCTCGAGTTCATCTGCAAAGAGTTCCCAAAGTGATTGTGAGATAGCCCAAATTAGAAATGATTTTCCAGTTCCAGTAGTACCATCTACATTAATTCTGAAAGGTGGTGGCTTGTCCAATCCATTTGAGCTCTTGACTTTCTTAAAATAAGCCATTACTTGAAGAAACACCAATTGTTGTTCTCCTTTCAAAGTTGTATAATAGAGGCTTTGCGCAAAGCCAGCTGGAGCCAGTGGTGGCTCGGCTGTAAGCGTATCATCCATGGCCACGATAACATGATGCAGTGGATGGAAGCTAGAGCAATCTGAAAAACAGACACTCATGCTGTCGCAATATGGCTATATGAAGACATCATTTGTAGATGGGGCTGCCTAATGGAAATTGTAACCAATAATGGAGGCAAGTTTACTGTGGCAAACAGGTGGATCACTGACAAGTATGGAATCCCTGCAATACACATTTCACCCTACAATTCTGGTGCTAATGGAAATATAGAAAGACCTCACTGGGATGTGAGGCAAATGCTCTATAAGGCAACAGGAAAAGAAAACGTACACTTGTGGTACTATTTCTTACACGCGGTAATGTGGGCGGACAGGGTTACCATTAGAAGGACAAAAGGTTGTTCTCCTTACTTTATGGTCACTGGTGCACACCCAGTCCTACCTTTAGATGTAGCCAAAGCCACTTGGTTAGTCAAACCACCTGAAGGCATCCTTAGGGAGGCCGAGCTCATAGGCATGCATGCTCGCGTGTTAGCAAAACATAAGACCCATGTGGACGAGATGCGAGAGAGAATTGACAAAGAGAAGTTAAAGCACTTAATGCGATATGAGCAAGATTACAAAGCAGTGATCAAAGACTACAAATTTGAGCTGAGAGACCTTGTTCTAATGAGAAATACAAGCATTGAGGAGTCGAAGGATACAAAAATGGATCTGCAATATCTGGGTCCTATGGTAGTAGTCAAATGAACCATAGGAGGAAGCTACATTCTGGCTGAACTGACTGGAGCAGTGTTCCAATCCAAAGTCGCTGCTTTCTGTGTTGTTCCTTACTATGCTCAAGAGCACCTGCCTGTAGCAAAGAAGCTCCAAGACATTATAGACTTGACTCTGGAAGCACTTAAAAAGCTCGAGGAGACCAAGCCAGTAAGGCATGTCAATGAGTATTGGTTTAAGGGCTGAAGACTCAAAGCGAGCAGGAGCGACTCCAGTGATGTGTCTCAAGTAGACAAGGTTGACTCTGACTTTTCAGATCAAGGACAACTTGGAGATGATGAAGACAACTGATTGGATTTAAATGGCAACGAAGTAAAGTATAGGGCTGGGCACCAGGCCGCAACTAGACAGCCATACGGCATTGTAATATGGTGATGGCCCCATACCGTATTGAGGTTCAGCACCTGGGGAGACGGTATGGCACAGGTCATGTGTTATGCTGTCTTAACCATCTCTGTATAGCTGTTACGGACGTATTTACGGAGTGTAATATTTTAATTAGTGACTAGTATCCCACGATCAGATGTTCTTGTTGATCAAGCCCACATGCGAATCTATGCGAACTTGTCCTCCATTTCTCTGTCCTCCACCTGCATTTGACACAAGCACCCTATCTGAGAGCTCAAGGCTGCTCTCTATGAGTTGAAACCCACAGACATTGCTCACAATATGCCCTTCAGCCGAGCAGGCAGGCAGTGCCAGTGTCAGCTCATACTCAGAGCTTTGGCCTGCCTCAAGGCTCAATCCCGCAATGGCAGCCTCCACATCGATCGCCTCGCCCTCGCACCACGTCTTGTACCCTCCTATCTACTATCATGTTGATTCTATATTCTCATGCCCATTTACTTGTCATCCAGTACACTCCAGCCAAGTAGGGAATTGGACATGGGCTTAATACATGATGGACGGTTGTTGGTCAGTTCCCTGTTTGACATCACCATTTGAAACACCACTGATATCAACATTAGTGCATATTTTTCTGGGATGAGAGGCACAGAAGTGGTCTGCTGCAGCACTGGAGACATGACATTGAGTCAGGTGAGGTGCGCACAATTTCCTTTTTTGAATTTGCAGAAGCATCTGACGGTGTTCCATAGCACCGACATACAACGGCTCCAAGAACTATACAGTACAAAGCCACTGTAACAGTTACTCCTGACGGCCTGGCAGGATCTTGTACACAGACCTGTGTCTAGTTCAGAGCCGCAATACATCATGGCGGTTACTGAAGTCTCTTTGTGTGATGACAACGTTGAGTCTCGGATTGTAAAGTTCAAGTCAGGTAAAGTTTTTCTTGCTCAGTTATTCTTTGTGAGCTGAGTAGTCTTTAGCAACACAAGGCTGCTTCAAGCTGAGCCATCCTGTCATGACCCGTCCCCGGCTTCTGGCACAATTATCCGGCTCCCGAGGCTGTATCCAGCTTCCGAGGCTTGTGGTAATGAGCCGTGCTCTTCCGAGGTGCTTCCAAGACATCTGGGAACGAGCTGTGCACTTCCGAGGCACTTCCAAGGCGTGCCATGTTTCCGGCTCACTCCATTGTGTCTCCCAGCCATTGTCCCATTGTTCTCCATTGTCCCTCTTGTTCCGGCTAAGTTATCTATTACATAATCATGGTCCATTATCCTACATAGCATAAATACCCATGTACAGTAGTAGATTCCTCAGTTGGAATATCAAACTCGACATACCCCCTTTGCTCTAGTTCACTGCCGGAATCCGGCTCCTCCCTGTTCATCCAAAATTGGGGACACCCAGACGTTGCGTGGTGGCACAGCTGCCCTTTCCGTCAAGCTGAAGCCAAGTCCCCACCCCATCCGGCACGGTCATTACAGTATATTCTGACTACCAACTGTGTTAACGTCAGACCGAGTCCAGCCGGATTGATTTCCAGCACCCATCTGCTCCGATTCACTTCAGATGCGACCCCAGTCCTGCCTGGATTGATTTCCGGCACCACAGCAAGTCTCTGGCTATGCTGTTGTATCACCCTTCACGACCCCATCCACTCCTTTTTTCAACCCACACTGTCTTTCACAGCTCCTGTATCCAACCCAGACCACTTCCAATGTACTCGAGCCGACGATACGAACCCCTTATGACCACTTCCACCCTCTCGCAGCATCCGCTGCACCTGGATTTTCTAGTGCTTTTGTTCAAGGATGAAGTCGGCGAAGCGCCACCCTACACTCCGTCGAGTGCCGGCGCGACCCTCAACCTCATTTTCCAAAGACATCTGCAGCTGAGTTATCCAACACCTCACATCTGGGCTGCTTGCAACATCTGCCAGCTGCCCACTCATCCAGTATTCTGTCTCTGCCCACCCACTTCTATCAGCTACAAAAACATATCAAACACTGCCTTAAGCAGTGCGACAGGATCAGTCCTGGCTGTCATAAAGCAGTCAGCCTAAGGGAGAGGTCATGCTGGGTGTGCCGGTCTCCGAGAATGGGGGCAGGGGCATCAATACATGCAAACAATGAAGGAAACAGTGTCCAAAACTGTTCCTCGTCGTTTGTGGCCCTCCCGTCACCGTTTTCGGTGGGGAAAAAGCACCAACGACAAGGAAATATATATATATTTCCTTGTCATTGTGCACCATTTCCCCCAG